TGGAAGCTGAACCTATCCTTATCGTCTGAATTCATGTGCTTTTCCTTAGCATGTTGGCAGTATAAGCTGGTCCGCCGCCTCCATGCAAGGACAAGTAGGATGATTATGATTATGGCCCCAATACCTAAGAGAGTACCCAGGGTGGCACCAATTATGGTTAAGGTACGACCATCTGGAGGGACAACGTCATCAACTCGGTCGCTGGAGGTAGAAGAGGTTTCTGTTTCGGTTGGATGTGGCGTGAATGTGGGCGCAGACGTAATCGTGGGCGTTGATGTGCTGCTAATGACGGTCATGGAAGAGGAAGTCATCGTTGAGGAAGAGGCTGAAGAGGTGGTAGAGACAGAAAAGAAATCCTTGATATCCAACCAAGCATTATCATCCTGATTGAAGATGACAATGGGTTCTTCATTGCTTCCACCAGAGATTACTACTCTATTATTATATCCCGGGTCAGCTGCAACGGAGGCTCCAGTACGGGATCCGGTAGGAGCTAAGGTAGAATTATAAGCAGGGTATGAGTCTCGTTTCTGTATAGTCGAATGGACATGGCCATGATGCCGGGAATGAATGGACCGCCTGTGAGGAGCGCCCGGTTGGACCAAGCTATCCGTGCGGACAGTGACTGGGGATGCCGCTAAATCAAAAACCTGCAGGGCCATGTTTCCATCTATGTAAGGGTTTGCGATAATGGGGGTATTAGTCGGGTCAGTAATTGGACTCTCCAAAACGTGGTCAAACATATGCCATGCATTGTCCTTGAATTCGTAGACTTTGTTATCCCCACTGCCTGCGACAAGTAGTACAGAGTCCTTTCCCCAGGGTAGAAGCACGGGTTTCGTAGATGGCGCGACGGGTCCACCGCGAGACTCGATGTGATATAGATTGGAATTCATAGAGATCATGAACGTTTCCGTTGACGGGGTAGGATTCCCATTCGTAGAGCCGGCGAAAACGAGGATGGACGATTGAGACTCGATGAAGACTGCATCGTGGTCGAGTCTGTTTTTCATATTGTTCCCATCTAGGGGCGGGAATTTCCATTTCTTATCTAAAAACGAGTAGCTCTGAACGCCGAGATAGTCATCCGGACCACCAGTACCGCCGACAACGTAAAAGGCTGGGTTATTCATGTCTCCATCAGTCGGACCTTTAAAGCAAGATGCTCCGGTCACAGACCTGCCCGTTTCTAGCTTGCTCCACTTCGCATTTGGTTCCAGGGCAAGTGACATAAAGCCAGCTGGTGAGTAGACATAGAGGACATTTTGGTGTATGAGGGAACAGTGGTCTTTGAGCTCGAATGGAGGTTTCGGGGACGGCATGACTGTGGGCCGTTTAAAGATCGATAAAGGTCGCCGTTTGACTGACGGCGGCGATAAGGAGAAAAGGGACAAGACCCGTTATATCAACAGCGCCAGCCAGAAAGTCTCTAGAAACATTCTACCGCTAGCTAGAATGGTAGATGTACAAAAAAAAGTTGAGCGAAGAGTAAGTGTCCTACCAGAGGTACCCCGTACCGCGTCAGACAAACGGACAAATGGCCAGTCGTGGTGCCTGCATCCAGAGAGGACTTCTGCTGGTCTGTCCGTCTGTCTGAGCCTGAGAGACAAGGCAGAGAAAGGTCGATAAGATAGACGATAGCTTGTGCTTCTCCAGACAAAAACCCGGGGCTGAATCTGCACTTCACCAAGCGTCACTCCGTTGAACCGAGCTCGAAACTCGCAGCCTCGTCCTCCGTCTCGACGACGGAAAATAGAAGACCGATATGATCTGTCCTGCTCGTCGAGAGAAATATTGAACGCACGAAAGAACAGGTCAACGGCTCACAAAGCCAGTAAACCTGGAAATCAAAAAGGAATGAATGTATACACCAGAAGGTAAAGAAAAAAGAGAGAAAGGGGAAAAGAACGGCTAACAGCACAGCTTTGCAAGCCGGAGGAGAGGGAAGAAGGAGAAATAGGGAGATAGATCTCTGCTCGAAGGATGAAGGGAAGAACGGACGATGAGACCAGGGGCAGAGATGGGATGTCTCATGCCGCGACGCTTATCCCGGTTGCAATGGAGAGCAGCCGTGCCTGAAACCGACGATGGATAATAACACTAATCAAACGCCCGTCCCTGGGCCGTATTGGGGCCGTATCAGGGTGCGTACAGCCGATACACAGACGCCAGGTTGATAATGGCTCCGTCCAACCAGAGCGCAGGAGCAGGGGTACCTCCGGGCCGTAGAGTGGGGCTCTCCTAGACTCTCCGCCAATGGAAGTCTGGGAAGCCCAGGATGGTCCCTTCCCCAAAGCCCCTGCCAAGCCACTCCCGGTAAATTACATACGAGCGCTTTCGTGCTTTTCCCCATGTATGCTGGTTTTTGATTTTTCTGGTGATCGATCGCTTGTTTCTTGTATATAAAGGTCGCACTGGGATGGCCAGTTTTTTTTTGGAGTGCCCGGAACTCTGGAGAAAAAGGGGGGAGGGGGAGAGTAGGATACAGAGTATACGCTGCTGATAAACGGTGGATGGTGGATGATAAAGAGAAAGAAAAGAGGTTTCTCGTTGTACGGAGTACTGTCTAACTCTGGGTTTGCTGCTGCTGCTGCTGCTGCTGCTGCTGTTCCTTCCACCGGCGTGCTGTGGACAACAGGTTCGATATCATTGCAGTCGACTCGTCGTCCGCTGGGAAGATATAGTCTATGTACTCTTCGAACCTGTCGTCGTCCACCTTGCGCTTCTTCTTCACCTTTCTGGGCATCTGCTTCTCGATGCTATTAATATCGTCGGGGGATCCGTGAGTGTGTTCAAATGCTTTCCAGGCATTGAGAAGTGCGACACGCTAGTTCATTTTGTCAGCAGGTGACCACATAGAGGAGATGATGATGTAAAAATAGCAAGGTTGGGAACTGACCTCTTCTCTCATGTCCTTCTCCTTCATGACCCGGTTAGCCCGCTCGAAGACCTTCCTAGCTCGGCTCTTCGCTTCCTCAGACACCGGCCGCTCTTCATTCTCATCTTCTTCCTCATCACCTTCTGGAATATTGATCTCGAACCGAGCATAGTTGATCCAGACCTTGACGTGGTCGGTCTTCTTGAGTAGTCGCTCATACAGGTTCCTGGTGCGCTCGTACTCTTCCTCGTACTCCTCGAAGTCGATGTACGCCTTCCAAAGTAATTCCGGCATGTCAAGTGCCGTCTGGTTTATACCTAACTCATAAATAGCTCTAGCACGCTCCACATCATCTAGACCCCTTTCTAGCTCGGCAAACTTGATCCATGATTCACTTTGAGATGGATTCCACTGGATCTGTTTCTCGAATAGCTTTCGGCATCGGGAAAACTCAAACAACTTCCGCTCAATATCGATGTAACCCCTAAAGAGCTTGTCCTTAGGGCACATTCCGATGGCTTGTCCTAGTGTCTTCCGTGCTAGCACTAGGTCAAGCTGCCGAATCTCGAACTCAGCTTTCAGGAGCCATATCTTTGCAAACGTAAACTTCTTGTGTGGGATCAGTTTCAGGCATTCTGTGTATATCTGCCGCGCACGCTCGGCATCTTCATTCTCCATCTCCTCCCACACAGCATAGAAGATCCAGAGGTAGATGTAGCGCCGCCAATGCCGCTTTTCCTGTGATGGTGGTATCTGAGCAATTGCTCTTTCATACGTCTCTCGAATCCGGTCTACATCGCCGGACGTCTCCTCGAGCCGTGTGAGGTCAAACCATAGATCATAGTTCTTTGGATTTTCTTTGAGCTGTTCTTCATACTGGACTCTCCGCTTAGACAGGATCACGTCTTCAACCCCTACGCGGTCGCCAAATTGCTTTTCAAACACGGTGTAGGCACTCTGTAGAGCAGCAGACTTGGAGCGGGGCAATCTGTCGAGAGCAAACTTGTATATTGCCCTGGCACGCTCGTACTCTTTCAATTTCGTCTCATACCGCGCGTAGGCAATAAATAGCTTCTCGTCCATGAAGTCGGTGCCAAGAGTCTCGATCGCAGTGCCATACACCTCTCTGACCAAATCGCTAGTGGAGTTCTCCTCCTCAAACCGTGCCCATTTTATCCAATTCTTCGTTTCCGGATGAACGGTAATGAATCTCTGGAAAATAGCTCTGGCGCGGTCCAGCTCATTGTACCGCTTCTCCAGCTTGATGTATGCATGCCAGGCCCCCTCATCTGGTTCCCACGACATCCACCGTTCAAAGACCTGTCGAGTGCCCGCAATATTGCCTAGCATTTCCTCCATGTAAACGTATTTATACCACAGCTTGTCCACACGCGGCAGGATCGTAACAGCCCGGTCAAACAGGTTCCTAGCATGGTTGATATTACGGTTCTTCATCTCCGCCTCTGCATATCGTATCCATAACACAACGGATGTAGAATCGACGTCCAAGGCACGTTCAAATATTGACCGAGCACGGCGAAATTCCTTCTGCTCAAGCTCCCATTGCGCGTATCTCATCCAGTTGTTCATGTTAATCCTGTTGCGGCGGACATAGTCTTCGAACTCCTTCCGTTTCCGGCCTTGGTATTCATGGAGTTCTTCTAGATCGGCAAACCGCTGTGTAGGAGCTTGCAGCGAGGGTTCCTGACGGTCGACAGCTTCGCGGAGGAGCTGTTCAGCAGAGATCTGCTGCGGCGCCGGGGCCTTGTTCTTGACCCTCGGAGGACCTCGTGTGGAATCCATGGTCGGCAGCTCAGGGAGCGACGGCGCTAATATTGTCTGCGATGCAAACCTGAGCTTCTTTCGCTCTTGTCAATGGCTGTAGACGTGGTTGTTGTTGCTGTAAAGATATCGAAATATAAAAAAAACCCGAAAGCTTCAAAAGGCCCGTCACGCCAAGACCTTGCCTCTTTGGTCTCTACAGTCCGCCGTTCCCCCAAGTCAACTTCATCATATCACAAGAAACTGATTATAACTTGAACTGCTCCTTGCCACGAACATCTTACCAGCCGCTTACACTCTTCTGCCGTCAATATACTGCTGCAGACAGCTCCAGGACAAGATGGCGACCCTCGCAGATGAACTGATGAATGATTTTGAGGACTCCGGCAGCGAAGGTGGCCTCGATGATGCGCATCTCAAGGATCAAGATGACCGCGATGAAGATGCTAGAGATACATCTATGTTGCCAGACAGCGTAGATGAGGCTGATGACAACGATGAAGGACAGGAGAAGATTGAGAAAACCCAGTTCAAGGGAGTTTCTGATGTTCGGAGTGTAGCACGGCTCATGGAGACACTGCGGCCTATTCTCGAGGTATGAAACTTAACGGCCTTGCTCTGTACAAGACGACTTATGCTAACACACACACCTTTAGAAAATTGCCCATTATAAGCAGCTACCCGAACGGGAAGAGGCAAGAACTGGCTCAGTGGAAGATGATGAGGAATACCATCTCCTGACACAGTCCAACTCACTTTCAACATCGATCGATAACGAGATCACCCTCGTACACAAGTTCATCAGAGACCACTATTCGTCACGTTTCCCAGAGTTGGAAACATTGATTTCGAATCCGATAGACTACGCAAAGACTGTCGCCATCCTGAAGAATGGGCCGTTCGATGATATCAAGGCTATGGCATCATCGACAGATAACCTGGTCGGACAGACGCTGCGAGCTATTCTTGATGGCCCTTCGTTGATGACTGTTGCTGTAGAAGGAACTACTACACGGGGTAGCCCGTTACCTGCCGAGGAGCTGGAGTGTATCTTGCGAGCTTGCGAGATGATGTTTTCTCTAGAGAAAGCGAAGACGGTACTTACGGAATACGTACAGTCAAGGATGACGATGTTTGCTCCGAACCTGACAGCGCTGGTAGGGTCGTTGACTGCGGCACAACTTCTTAATTATGCGGGTGGACTGACGGGACTGGCCAAGATGCCTTCCTGCAATATATCACCACTTGGCTCCAAAAAGCAAGCCCAATCTGGGTTTGCAACCAATGTTGGAATACGGCATCAAGGTTTCCTCTATCACTCACCTATCATCCAGGACATACCGAATGACTACAAGATCCAGGCGATGCGTATAGTTTCAGCTAAAGTGGTGCTTGCAGCTCGTGTGGACAGGGTCCACAGTAGTCGAGATGGATCGACTGGAGAGCAGCTAAAGCAAGCCTGTCTGGAACGGCTGGACAAACTTACTGAACCGCCACCTAACAAAGGCACTCGTGCTTTGCCTGCGCCAGATGACAAACCTTCAAGGAAAAGAGGCGGTCGAAGAGCGAGAAAGGCCAAAGAAGCCACTGCAATGACTGATCTACGCAAAGCCCAGAACCGACTAGCATTTGGTAAGGAAGAGAAAGAAGTAGGTTACGGAACAGGAGAAAGCACCAAGGGCCTCGGTATGCTCGGACAGGAGAACCAAGGGCGAATTCGTGCCACACAGATCGATCCACGAACAAAGGCCAAACTCAGCAAGTCGAACAAGGGCTGGGGAACAGCCACACCCGCACCGGGCCACGCATCCTCTCTCCACCGACTCGGTAACGCCCCTGGGAACGCATCGGTGTTGAACGCACAAGGTCTCCGTACCGCAGGCGTCGGCCCTATTGCAGGCTCCGGAACAGCTAGTAGTATCGCCTTCACGCCCTTCCAGGGCCTCGAATTGGTTGACCCTAAGGCCCAGGCGGAGCTCAAGAGGAAACGGGCCGCAGAGGAAGACCGGTGGTTCAAGAGTGGGACGTTCACGCAGGTGGGAAACCAGTCGAGCACGGCATCCGATTCGGGGACGTTCGAAGTCCCTCGTTTACCGACCAGCAAGACTGCATCGGGAGGATCTATGGCACCTCCTCCGAAGCCTCAGTGAAAGTCAAGATACAACTTTTCTAAATATGAACCAAAAAAAAAATAATCGAACCATCTGACCCATCTTACAGGTCCAACCGCCACCCACGACTCGGAGAAGAGACTGAATGACTAGCACCGGTAAGTAGTCGAGCTATGTGATCCTCTTCCTCGTTCTTCTGTGTCTTCTTCAGTGTGAATGCTGCCTATCCCCGACCATAACAGGTTCTACGAGCATCAGAGAGCCTCGAAACCCCCGACTCGCAGTACTACGCTCTTGCCAGGCCGCCACCCAAGTCGGAGGATGCGCTGAACTCTTGCTGTCAGCCGTGATATATGCGAGCATCCAAGGGTCCGATTGGATACGAGGCTGCAAGGGTTGTCTCAGCTTCCACCTCAGCAACATCTGTACTACTGCCCAGCCCAGGTCTACCTATTAGACTATGTATGATAACGACAGTATCTCATCAACCACG